GGAGGTGCTCCGTTTCTTCTTCGTAATAGACCGCGAGTATGATATCCATCCTGACCACATTATTCTTGTTATATATGGAGTGCAGGAATTCTCGATCCTTCAATCGGATGAGTGACTTTTCTATGTCCACATCGCCCTCATATACTTCTTGGTGTTATACTGTCTACTTTTGTATACGTTTATCAATGTTATAATACCTTGATAAAGGTTGGCGTTCAGCCAACTGAAATATTGGTAAAATAAATGATATTTTGATCCAATATATGCCTTTTTATTTAAAGATTTATTTACGGATTGCTCTATTTTCAAAACACTATATTATATACTTTCTCTATATTAAAAAATATATATTTTTATATACTTCCTGTTGTTTTACTGCCTACATACTGTATATTTCTAGTCTACATTGGTCAGCTTCTGAATTGTATCTAGGTGTTGTTATGAAATTGCAGGAATTCGTATGCTGCGGATAAACTCGGGCAAACTTATTGAGAGAAGTGTATTTGTTTTGTTGTGTGTGAGGACATCAGTCCATGACACACCGGGTGGCAGCCTGCATCCAGGCCAGTGGGAGTCCAACGATATTTTGATTCTCTCAATTGTGACGATCACACACACAAGAATTCTGTAATAAAACAATTTTACGAATTATGAATGTGTGTGTGTGCTGGCCAGGCAGCCTCTATCTTTACTACAATTATATTTGTTCTGAAATTTCGATCGTTTTTCTCTCCTATACATGTTCTTCACATAGACCATTTTTTGTTACAATCGGACAACTCCTTCTTGGGGTATCGATTTTTTTTGTTTGTTTATAGGGTGTAGGGGCACCTACAACTAGAGGTCTAAATATTGTTACGGTAACGTCTAAATAAACGTTTAGGCTTAGCGGCGGGGACCGTTGGAACGAGGAAAGGATTAAGAAGGAATAGGATGAGCGTGACGGCTGTCACCAGTCGGTATTGTGTCCCCTTCGAGACTAACGTCTGCTCTCTGTTTGTGTGGTCCTGTAAAAATAAATCGGGTGGGTATCTCGAGAATAGAGATTCTTGTTGGGAGAATCTTAATAAATTACTCTCTATTAAAACTTAAAACTTCTTTATTGAAGGCACAAATAACAATGAATTTAAATTACTATGATAAAACTAAAAAACTCTAAGAAACTCTTACGTCTTAACGTCTTCTCATATACTCTCTCCCACACCTACTCAAAGAAATACATATATTTATATACACACAACACCACAGAATAAATTAGATCACAGATTAATTAAATCACAGAATGAAAATGAATATTTTAAATAATAAACATCAACAAATCTCCCCTTCAAATTTTCAATTTTCATTCTTCAAAAATAACTCCACCACTTATGCAGTTCTTAATCTTGACAGCATCCACAGTCTTGGTGAAATGGTCCGCTTTCATTTCTTCTGAATTCAGTGCTTCTTGGTAATCTTTCGGACGTTTAATTTCATAAGTTCTATCAGAAACATTTTCCTTATTTTTCATTAGTCTTAATCTTTCAGATCTCCTCACTCCCCTTTTTATAAGTTCTTCTTCCTCGGTTTCTCTCAAACGAAGATCTCGTTCTTCTCTCATTTCTCTCGTCATTCCTGGTTCTGGTCCTCTTCTACGTGGAGTAATTATTTCATCTGGAGATATTTCTTCTATTTCACTTAAATCTACATCATTATCATCTTGAGGAATATGCTCATCATCGATGTTAAAGTTTCTACCTGGTCTTCTCTATTATAAATATCACCACCAGAGTCTTCATTCCCGTGAGAAATCAAATTTTGGTCTTCTCTACTAAAAAAGAAAAGTTCATTTTCATCAAGATTTCTACCACTATTATTCATTAAATAATATCCTAGTCTGGATTCATTAAAATTAACATCTGATACTTCATGTATTTCATCTATTTCTAGTAAATATATTCTATATCCTTTTCTTATCATACTATATCCCATCATGATCCCTTTATGAGCTTTTGGTTCCATCTTCTTTCTCTTTTCTTTTCTTATATGAACATAAGCTAGAGAGGCTTCCGAACCTTTTTAAGTAAACAATGTTTGGTTTCCATCCCTTGTATATCTCGAAAGGAGTTGTATTCATTTCTCTAATTTTAATTCTGTTATTTATATGAACAACCACTTTAACACTTTCACTCCAAAATTTTTTAGGTAATTTAGAATCAATTAGCATGGTTCTTGCTGACTCAACTATGGTTCTATTAAATCTTTCGGCTTTTCCATTACTTTCAGGAGTATAAGCTGTGGTGAATTCTTGTTTGATGCCCTTACTAGATAACCATCGCCTCAAATAATTTGAAACATATTCTCCTCCATTATCATTTCGAATTCTCTTCAATTTCTTTCCAGTCTGTCTTTCTTCTTGCATAATCAAGTTTTTTATGGAATCTGCTGTTTGAGATTTATTAGCAATTGGTATAACGAAAGTAAAATTACTATAGTCATCAACAATGGTAATGAAATACTTATATCCAAAAGAATCATTTAAAGGTCCAACTATGTCGGTATGTCATAGATCCAAAATATCTTCAGATTGTTTATATTGAATACTTTTGTAAGATTTTCTATGTAATTTTCCCAATGTACAAGACTCGCAATTCCCTTTGATATTATGCAAATTTTTCAATCCTAATACAGTTGAATTATCATACATTTCTTTCAATTTCTGAAAATTTACATGAGCAAGTCTTTGATGCCATAGCATATCATCTACTTCTGCTTTTCTTGCGATTTCCATAATTAGGAGTCCCTCTACTTCAAATTTATCACCATTTCTTTTTGCTTCATATAAAATCTCACCATTTTTGTCTATTACTTCAGCTTTATATTTACTAAATAATACATTAAAATCATGATCTATAATTTTTGTAACTGATAATAAGTTTTCTCTCAAATTAGGTACATGCAAAACATTTTCTACTTTGATTAATCTCTCATTAACATTCGACTTCATTCTTATAGATCCAATTCCTGAAGATTTTATTATTGCACCTTTTTCAGCTGTCGCTATAATTCTTTCTTCCTCTTCATATTCAATAAATAGTTTCCTGTTACTGACCATATGACTAGAGGCTCCAGAATCCATTGTCCATCTTATCTTGTCTACCCCTTGATCTTCTTCGTAATTGTCTTCATTTGTTTCTACCACATGACTTGTAGATTCTCTATATTTTTTCTTGTTTATCCCTTTCTTAGGCCCATTATATGACTTTGCATGGCATTCATTTCTATTCTTTCTACATATTGCCGATTTATGCCCAAATCCTCCACAATTAAAACATTTTATTTTATTTCTACACTCTTTAGAAATATGTCCCATCATTCCACAGTTATTACATTTAATAAATTTTCTTCTTTCCGTCCAGCCCTCTTTAGCTTTTGATGCAATTTCTGTTTGCCGTTTTTCTTCTTTTCTATGTTTTAATTTTTCTTCTGTTTCCTTCAGGATTTGTCTTATTGTGTTCATATTATTTTGCCTGTCAGATTTTATAATTTTTACGTCAAAATCAAATTCAACTCTCAAACCTTCCAAAACGAAGCAAATCAACTCTTTATCTCTTATTTCATCTCCTGCTTGAATGCTTCTGCTCTTTATAATCATTGCTCTATTCAAGTAGTCATCAACCGTTTCATCTTCCTTCATTTTTAATTTTGATAATTCTATTTTATTTTTCATTTGCATATCTTCATTCCCAGCTGCCATTTCTTCCTTTATTAGTTTCCATAATCTTTTTGCACTTCTTTCGCTCGAGTATTTAAGCACTTGAGTGTCATTCATTGTTCTGTTCATCACATTTCTAGCGATAGCATTGTCATCATCCCAATCTTCCCAGATTTTCACTTTTTCTTCAAATTTTTAATCTGTTTCTATTGGCTTTTCAACTTCTTCTCCCTCTATGATACGTCTCCATAACTTCAAACTTCTCAATTCGCTTTCTATTCTGTTTGCCCAGATCAAGTAGTTTTTGTCTGATAGTTTTTCTATTCGAGATAAGTTAAAATTTTGCATCTTTGATTTTTCTAAACATTATTCAATTAATCTTGATTTGCATCAATTTAAATTCAACCCCTCTCTGCTACCAATTGTTGGGAGAATCTTAATAAATTACTCTCTATTAAAACTTAAAACTTCTTTATTGAAGGCACAAATAACAATGAATTTAAATTACTATGATAAAACTAAAAAACTCTAAGAAACTCTTACGTCTTAACGTCTCCTCATATACTCTCTCCCCACACTCACTCAAAGAAATACATATATTTATATACACACAACACCACAGAATAAATTAGATCACAGATTAATTAAATCACAGAATGAAAATGAATATTTTAAATAATAAACATCAACAATTCTTATCGATCCCACGTGTTCAATGAACTATCCCTGACTAATCAGAGGCAAAAAAATTGGTGTCAGTGAATTGGTGAATTCTCTGTTAGTAAAAACAATTTAAGATACCTGTGGAACCAATAAATGGTAACAGAACAAACAGACATGCTTCAAGCTCTTCTCGCAGCAATGAAAAAAACGTAGCTAGGAAATGTCAGAATCGAGAGAAGTAATCTTGAGAAAGATCAATCAAAAATCGACATTTCGGAAAGAGAAGATCGACCAACGGCTAGAACCTCCCAGCAGCTAGAAATCTCTGGGCCAGACCGAGAGAACGGTGGAAGAGAACCCGGTGGATGTGCCGTGTGGAAACTCAGCGCCCTGCATTCCTTCTTAACATCGGTGATCGTGGAGAGCAGCAATACGACGGTGTGAGTCCAGACTGTCTGGGACTATAGACACTCTCGTCCAACAAGGTGCAAGCCAAACAGCCATCGCTGGATGGCGCTGTCGCCAGTTGGTATTGTGCTCCCGTTGAGACAAGCGTCTGTTTTCTGTTTTACTCTCTTTGTGTGGTCTTGTAAAAATCAATCGGATGAATATCTCGAGAACAGAGATCCTTATCCATCTCACGTGTTAATTTGATCATCCTGATACAGTAGCGGCCTAATAATTTTTTTTTTTTTAACTTCAGAACGTTTATTTCATATCCAGGAACCCTTCCCAAGAAACTCGCCAGCTCTCAAATGTGGAAAGAAATAGATGCGCTCTAGTTGTGATATAACAAACAAGATTCCAAATAGATTAACGAACAATTTTCTGGTCCATCATCATCAATAAAGTTCATATTTCATACATCTTCCTTATTTTATATTAAGAAATAATCCAGTTTTATATTCACAGGCGTGTAAAAGTTATAGAATAAACAAACAAAATCATGATTTTTTCTTAATTACAGAAAATTTATTAAACTAAAATTTGAATATATATGGTCTATCATTGGGTTAGTCATATGTAAACACACAAAAATATTCTACCCTTATAATTTTATGTTTAATGATCATGTTTTAGTTCGATCATATATAAATAATATCTACTAAACATATTTTTGATATATCAATTTTAATTTTTCTTTTTAAATTCAATAAAATCATTTTGTTTCTTAACTTTCCAATCAGTATATAAAGGAAACAACGCGCTATCTGTATTTTAGGAATGAAACTATGTTGACTTTGCTTAGAATTATTAATGAAACTGATTCCAATAATTATTAATTAAACATTATATTGATTGATTTACAAGAGAGAGAACAAAATATAAAAGGGAAACTAATATTAAAACAAAGGATTTTTTTCTGTTTCGGTTAGCGCCTATTTACCTGTGAGCTTACACACACTCTGTGGTAACAATTAATTAATATATATACACCAAACTATTTAGAGAGCGTTTATTAAAAAAAACTGTCCTTAGAGATAGAAAAAATGTTAGGAGGTCGTGGACAATTGGTGATGAACATTCTCTCAGCAATTTTGTCAATTTATTCTACCAGATAGCTCTATGATATTGTATGAACGAGGCCTGAATGACGACACCATCTTGGTGTCTACCAAGACATGTTTCTACAAGTCTCATCTCAACATTGAACTGAGAGCGGTTCAAATTGATCCTGTCCTTGTCTGGAGGGGGACAAGATGGAGGAGCCTCCCTTCCTGAGAACAGCTTTTTATATTTGATCACCAAATTATATTTTTTTTAATTTCTCTTTAATAATTGTAACAATTAACTAAGGGTGTCAATATAATATTTTAAATTGATAATTTTATTAGAGGCACACGCACTCTCTCGATAAAAGTCCATCGGTGGCGGAGTGTTTCCCGCGGTGGGCGCCACCAATGACGATATGTATATATATATATATATAGATATATATGTGGTATATGGGAAAAGGATCCTGAGAATCTTATCGACTCTCTATAATATAAAAAAAAATGCTTGTCGACTTCACTGTGATAAAGTGCTTTGTCCTGAGAATCCTCGGGAGTGGATGGGATTTTGTTTGTTTGGGCAGTCGTTATCAATGGCGGTGGATGAAAAAATCGGCACACTATATCGATTAATGAATCACAAAACACCTCGGAATATTAATCATTGGCGGCTCGGGAGAGGAGATGGAAGGATTTTCGCGATTAAATTGGATTGAGATGACTCACATCTTGGACCTCGAGGCACTACTTTTAGAAGATCCACACACACGTCTTGACACACACGTTGCCGACCGAACTCTGGTTGCCCCGCCCCCTGGCTTGGGTCATGTGGGACCCTGCTTGACCTTTGATTGGTCCCTGTCTCTGTCGGCCATGATGGTAAATTTGGTCGGGAAGAAGCTTGGCCTAACATCCCAATCTCTCAGGACATTCAACTCTGGAATATGAGGGCCTCTTTGTTCTAAGTGACCTAGATACACGACTTGGATCTGTCGTTCTTTTCTCTTCTACTTCTTCCATCTCCTCTTCCTTTGACTGCCATCTTTATTGATTCCATACAGAATACATTATATCCAACATGGTACATAATTATTTATTAGACAATATTCTTTATAATATTACAGATGCGCCCCCTATGAATAAGAATTTTAAAAGGGATCTGTATTAAATTCTGAAAAAAGAAAAATAATTTTTTGGGAAAGAAAAAAAAATAAAATTTTTTTAAAATAGTGAGTGGTTAGATACAATTGGGGAGAAAGTAAATGATGGAAATAAGTAAAAAAAAGAAATTTGAGTAGATAGGGGTGCTTGCTAAACTAGGAAAAAATATGATAATTTTTTGGAGAAAAAAAAAAATCTTGCCTGCATAGGTGTTCAATCTTGCTGTGTGGAAACCCACAGCAAGGGAAACTCTATGAGGTGCAATCCAACCAAAACATATAAGACATTAACAGAAATAAAAAGAAAACTATAGACAATAAAATTTTGGTGATGGAGGGAAAAAAAAAGAAAAAGAAATCTGATTAGCCTTTGGGGCGGTGAAAAAATATAAACAAAACATAAAAAAAAGAAATCAAAGCTCCTGTATGATAACTGAAGGCTGATACATGAGAAGTATTGCGTCAGGTCAGTTGTTCATTCAGTTAGGACAAAACAAGGTTTAAACAATAAAAGGAAAAAAAATAAACTTGAGGTGATTAAGAAATTGAAAGGGTGATAGACATGGATGGTGGGAATAAAAAAAATAAAAATAAAAAAAATAAAAGTGCTGGTTGTGTACAAGTCCTTTAAAATTGGTTAACAAAAATATACACAAAAGAAGAATATTATTTTTTTTTTTTTACATAACAATGTCCAATCTTTGTTTATTATAGGGTCGTAGGTCATAAGGTTGCCAAAACTATATAGGTGCGTGAATGTATGCGAGTGTGTGTGAGTGTATGTTCCAGAAAGTAACTTTAAGTGTGGTGACACGCGAAAAGTGACGGCGGGTTTGTTTACATTCAGCAGGGAGGATGTGACGTCGGTCACGTGCGGAAGGTTTCTGTAAAGTGGACGCCAGCTGACAGCGGGGTGATCGACGAGTGTTTGTAAAGGTGGGGAGATTGCTATTCGACTTGGCGCGCTCTAAAGAGGGTTTGGAAAATCTCTCCTATGATTTCACCTATTAGAGCGACCAAGGCATGACTGTGGACAAGGATGGTCCATAACTCCGGGAGAATTATTCCTATGGTTCGATGGATTAGTTCCACTACGGCGATGGTTATTTCGAATAGGGCTTCCTGTAGTTGGAAGAGACGGTTGGGCTGCAGTGTATAGACACTGACATACAGTAGGGTGGCCATGGGTAATAGTACAGTGGGTAGGATGAAAAGGTTGATGAGGTATAGGAGGTGGAACAAGGGGAAGGTTTTCACGTTACGAAAAAACCTTGCCTGTAAGGGAATTGGTTTGGGATCAGCCCTAACTGTAGGGATTGGGGTTTTAACTTTGGTTATATGGGTTGGACGGGATATTGCAGGTTGGGGAATATCGCGTTGGGCGATAATGTTACATTGTGGGTCAACAGGGGTGGTAGTGGTACAATTGCCTATTGTAGGAGCAAAGCGCTCAACTGTAAAGAGGTCTGGGGTGAGGTGCTCGAACAGTGGTGGTAGCGTCTTAGATTGGGGTTTAGCAGGGTGTGGTATCAGAGTGGGAGGTGCGATATAACGAATATTTTCGTTATAGTACTGTAATTTATTTACATGGACTGTGTCGGTATTCCGATTTAGAGGTTGGTTGGGTCGGTTTATTCTCACCACGTTGGGAGAGATTATCTCTAAGATCTCGTAGGGACCCGTGAAATACGGAGCCAGTTTGCCTGTATTGGGGTGATGGTAAACTTTTACCAACACGAGATCTCCGGGTTCAAAATGGGGTGTCTTATGTTGTTGGTCGTAGGCATGTTTGTCTTTGAGGTGCTTGGCCTGGGTACGTTCATGGGCTATCCGTCGGGCTGTGGTTAAAACGGGGTAGGGGTTTACATGCTCAGTGAGCTCGGGAGGTAGAACGCCGAACATCAGGTAGCCAGGTGGGAACCCGGTAACTGAGTGGGGCGTGTTGTTATACACCACAGTAACGCGCTTCGCCAGCTTAGTCCATGCGGCTTTGGGGTTTTCCAAATGGAGTAACCTTAGTTTGCCTGTTAAGGTAGCGTTCAGGCGCTCGCATAGACCATTAGCTTGGGGGTTGTTACTGGTGGTGAGCAGGGGATGGATGTTCCTGTTAATCAGGAACTTCCTGAACTTTGGTGAGGTGAACGCAGGCGCTCTATCCGTGAGTAGGCGTTTCGGAGAGCCGTCCTGCAACACTCGCTTTATCACCTGTTGATAGGTGGTGATGCTGGTAGATTTTGAGGGGAAGGTCCACGTGTAGCGCGAAAAGTGATCCACCACAACGTGGAGGTAAGTTTTGGCGTTACCATATTTGGCAAGTCCAGCTATGGTGTCGAGGGCGACCAGATCAAAAGGCTGAGTGGCCACAGGAAGTTGTCCTAGTTCCCCAAACGTGGGACCTCGAGGGGGTTTTGTTGACTGACAGATGGCGCAGGCTTTGGTGGTTTTGGAGATGTCTTCTGACATCCCCTTCCAGTAGTACTGGGGAGAGATGAGCCTGGTCATCTGGGATATGCCCGGGTGGTTGTACCGACTGTGCACCTTTGTTAGTAGGTCGGGAACGAGGGCGTCAGGGACGACAATTTTGGTTACACCTCTACGCTTTAGGGTTTGCAGTCCGTTTCGATCAATGGTCAGTTTAGATTCTCCCGAAGGAGTGAGTTGGTGGTTCTTTATGATGGTGGCGTCTAAGAATCCACAAAACGGGTTACGGGATAGGAGGTCCGCTTCATGTTGTAGTGATCCTTTTATGTAGCGGACTTCGTATTCGTAACACGATAACCTCAAACTCCATCGGAATAATCTGCCTGACGGGTTTTTGATCGTCTTCAGCCACTGCAGTGCGTGATGGTCAGAAAATATGGTGAATTTTCTGCCCATTAGATACACACGGAACTTCTCCACGCTCTCGACAATGGCGAGGCATTCTAGTTCGGAGATGGTGTAGTTCCGCTCGTGTACACGCAGAGCGCGGCTGAAATATTGGACTGGGTAGGCCTTCCCAGCGGAGTGGACTTGTTTGAGGACGCCTGCAATGCCAAGTGTTGATGCATCGCAATATACCTGGCATGGTAGTTCATCCTTGTAGAGGTGCAATACGGGGTGTTGTGTGAGGCTTTCCTTCAGGCTGGTGAACGCCTTTTGGCATTTGTCATCCCAGTCCCACGTCACATCCTTCTTGAGAAGGTTGTTGAGTGGGGTCCGCAAACGGGCATAGTCCGGGATGAACTTATTATAGACGTTCACGGCGCCTAAGAAGGATTGCAGCGTTTTGCGATTGTTCGGGGGTGGGATAGCGTGGATTACGTCGGTATTGCGGATAAGTGGGGTGGTGGTACCAGCGGTGATTGTGTACCCCAGAAATTCGATGGTCTGCCTAAAAAACTCGCATTTGGTGAGGTTGAGTTGCAAGTTCTCCGCGTCGCAGAACGCGAAAAACCTGCGCAGGTGTTCTTGGTGTTCCTCCAGTGTCTCCGAATATATGACAAAGTCGTCAAAATAGTGCGCCACACAATCAAGTCCGTGCCCCTGCAGGACCTGATTGATTGCCCTTTCATAGATCTGTGGACTGGTCTTAAGTCCGAAAGGCAATCGGGTGGGCTGATACAACCCGTCTATCGTGGCGAAGGCCAACAGTGGTCGCGAATCAGGGTGTATCGGCACTTGCCAATATGCGGAGGAGACGTCGGCAGTCGAGAAATACTTGGCCCGCGCGAGACGGTCCAGTATATCTTCGATCCTCGGGAGTGGATGGACATCGGAGCTTATGACCTCGTTCACCTTCCTATAGTCGATACAAAACCTTTTGGTCTTGTCTCGCTTGGTCACTAGGGTGACCGGGCTAGAGAAAGGGGAGTAGGACGGCTCAATGATGTCATTATCCAACATCTGTCGGATCTGACTGCGTATTTCCCGTTGGTCGCATATCGGTACCCTATATGGGCGGATGGTGACGACTTTGTCGGAGTTGGTGGCGATTCTTACTGGGGGAACCTTTAGGCATGGGACCGCGAATTTGTTCCGGGAGAACACGTGTTGGTATTGGCGCAATAGCGCCGGGAATTGAGGTGGATACGGTGGCTGCGGTTGATTGTCTATGGGGATCCCTGGGAGGTGTTCTGGTGATGTTGGGTGGTGTGTGTGGTACATGGAATGGTGTGTGGAATGGGGATGTTTGGGTGTATGGTGAAGGTGGTCCGTTTGGACCTTGGTGGGGTGTGAGAGGTTGGCATTGGGTGGTTGTTCTGGTACCTTGACCCTATAATAAGAGCAGTTGGCTCTAAAAAAGTTCTTTGATTGGACATGGTGCGGTGGTTGGGTGAGTCCCTGGGTTGTGGACGTGTTGTCCGAAAAATGCGCATATTGGGTATTGTTGGCGGAAGGCGGAAAAATAGTGTGGGCCTTGCATAGGTCCGCCTGGCATTCCCAATATGTGCACCTTTCGGGCAACACAGCAAAGTGGTAGGTCAGGGGCGACAAAGGTGCATCGAGTTGGTACATAGTGCCATGTGCAAAATCGATTTTTAATTTGAATTTACGGAGGGTATTAATACCAAGTATTCCAAATGGTAGAGGGGCGTCCACCACGTGGAATACTTCGTTTTGGGTTATTGCATGAATGGATAGGGGGAAGGTAATCTGGCCTATTGTTGGCACGTGGCCATCTATTGTCTGTAAATTTATTATTTTTTTAGTTATTAAATTTAGGTCAGGGAAATTATTCTTTAAATTTTTATATATGGCACATGACACTAGGTTAACGGACGCACCCGTGTCTATCAGGAATGGTAGGGACAGTCCATGGGAGATTGGCAATCTAATTGTCAGGTTGACGAAAGGCCTGGTCAGTAGGCCTACCTGCTGGCTGCTGGTCTGGGGCTCCCTTGGTTATCCCAGTGGCTTGTGCGCGTGACGCTTGGTGATGGGGCTGGGCTCGCGGCCGTTGTTCCGCTAGTTGCGCGGAGCGCGCTGCTCGTGCGTCTCCGGAGGCACGGGGCAACTGCGGGGCTTGTCTGAGACGACACTCAGAGTGCCAGTGTAGTCCACCACAAAAACGGCAGTCTGTTGGCGGGGTCGACCTGGTTGGCACTGTTCTTGGACTAGGTCGCACCGGTGCGTAGGGGCCCAGTAGGGGTGGTGCGTGCTCGTCTGGGTGCCTGGGAGATGGTGCGCCGCTGCCGCGGATCCGCTGCACCAGCCGGAACCATGCACCTAGGTTCTCTGGCGGCACAATGCGGACGAGGCGCTGGTCGGAGGGTGGCAGCCCCTCGGTGAGCGTCTCCAAGATGACCTCTTGTGGGAGGCCCAGTTGTAGACCCAGCGCGGTCTTATTCCGATAGTATTCTTCCAGGTTGGGCTGTCCGGCCAACTTCATGGAGAAGTATTGGGCATACGTGGCCTCATTGGTCTCCGGATAGAGATCCAGGAAGGTCTGTCTCACCTGGATGTAATGTTGGGTCTCCATCCGAAGCCTCCTGAAGTGTTCTAGCGGTTTGTTGTTCAGGTAACGGGGTAGGCGGAGCACTTTTTCCGTGTTGGTGAGACCATCCCAGTCTGTTTTCTGGTCATATGTCCGAAAGAACTGTGCGGCTGGGTAGGTCCCGTCGAAGCTCTGGACTTCTATCTCCGTCCGATGGGTCACGCGGTCGCTGGTGGTCTGAAGGGCAGATAAACACGCCGCGAGGCGTGCCAAGACGGCCGGCAACTCTGCCGACGGAGGGGGGGGGTTCTATTTTGGGAGAACTTACGGCGGGGTTGTTTTCTCCCTCTGCGGTGTATTCCTCCGCGTCTTGCGTTTCGTTTTTCTCGTCCATCCTGTCGACTCTCTGTGGTATATGGGAAAAGGATCCTGAGAATCTTATCGACTCTCTATAATATAAAAAAAAATGCTTGTCGACTTCACTGTGATAAAGTGCTTTGTCCTGAGAATCCTCGGGAGTGGATGGGATTTTGTTTGTTTGGGCAGTCGTTATCAATGGCGGTGGATGAAAAAATCGGCACACTATATCGATTAATGAATCACAAAACACCTCGGAATATTAATCATTGGCGGCTCGGGAGAGGAGATGGAAGGATTTTCGCGATTAAATTGGATTGAGATGACTCACATCTTGGACCTCGAGGCACTACTTTTAGAAGATCCACACACACGTCTTGACACACACGTTGCCGACCGAACTCTGGTTGCCCCGCCCCCTGGCTTGGGTCATGTGGGACCCTGCTTGACCTTTGATTGGTCCCTGTCTCTGTCGGCCATGATGGTAAATTTGGTCGGGAAGAAGCTTGGCCTAACATCCCAATCTCTCAGGACATTCAACTCTGGAATATGAGGGCCTCTTTGTTCTAAGTGACCTAGATACACGACTTGGATCTGTCGTTCTTTTCTCTTCTACTTCTTCCATCTCCTCTTCCTTTGACTGCCATCTTTATTGATTCCATACAGAATACATTATATCCAACATGGTACATAATTATTTATTAGACAATATTCTTTATAATATTACATATATATGTTCTGAATATAGAGCAATCCATAGTATTTGTATATTTTTAAATAAGGCTTATTTTGGATTGTAATAATATTATTTATTAATCCGATATTTCGATGGATCAATCTTCCATCTTTTACGAGGTGTTTTGCCGTGAAGCACGCAGCAGGTCGCGTGCCCCAGGTGAGCCACTAGACGTCTTCCAAGATTATTGGGCGATAAACCATCTGAAACCATATATATGTATATTTATCAATTGTTTTATATATTTATATCAATTTATTCATATATTTATTATTATATAATTTTATTTATTCATATTTATATTTATTCTGTATATAATCTTATATGGACTTTGAAATAAATCAGTTTCAATCTCAATCTCTCGATAAAAAAAATATATTATTAATGATAAAATTCGATTTAAGAATGTGCACAAAGTTATATATGAAAAAAAAAAACAATAGAAAAAATATAAAAGTGGGTCAGGTGTTGATATTAAAAATAAAGAAAGAATTTCCTGGCAACTAAAAAGCATATGTGCTCGTGGTCAGGAAATGCCTTCTTTTTTTTAATATTAAACAATATATATAGACAATACAAACAATAAATATGTAATAATACGCAATTCTGTTTTATTTCAATAAAACTACACACAATAATCTTTAGAGATCCCCTTTTAAACTTACCAAACTCAAAAGCCTCCAATTTGAATTCCAAGTCTTTAATTCATTTCAGCAGTAAGAAGTCAAATTAGGAAGGCAAACAGTACGTCTGAAAGCGCCAAGGGAAAATGCGCGCTGCTTTGAAAACAATTCATTTAAAAACATTTGCCCAGATCAAACAGAATCATCTCGGAGCAGAGAGTCTGAGAGATCAATATGAAATAAAATGCCATTTCCCCGAAGATTCTTCGCCACCATATTGGATACCATTAGAGAAAAAAAAAGTCTTTTAATATTAAACAATGTCTTTTGGTTTAATTCCATTCCCACCTTATTTATGTTGATGTATTTCCTATATATCCTTTGGTTGAAAGAAGAAATTTAAAGTGCAAATAAAAGCTAGGGGACACTCTATATTTGCCCATTTTCCCAAATGTCTCTCGATTTTTGAAGTTTTTTTCGTGGAAATTGGCTCTTGATTTCAGGGGGAGAAATGGCAAAGATAAGTGAGTGTTTGGAAGAATTTGGCGTTGTTATCCCCGAGCGGAGAAATTCCTTACTGTTTTTTAAAAAATGGAATAAAATATAAAAAGAAACTTTATATAGGATTTCAAGGAAGCAATAACAAATATGTTTATACATAGGTTCCTTGTTTAATATTTGAGAAGTAATTGTTGTTCCAATATATAAATAGAGTGTTATATAGTTGGCTTCATTAAATCTTGTAATTTGAATTATAAACGTAGTTGTGTGCCCTTAATATTTTCATAATGTCGATATTAAATTATTTATGAAGATTGAACAATACATATGTTAGGTTTATTATTATTATTATTATTATTGTATTTTATTAATTAATTATAATTCATATTCATAGAATTTTTGTTACTTATCATCATTCTTTTTTTTTTTCTTCTTCTGTTTTCTTTTGTGTTATAAATACAACTAAATCGCATTAAATCGTAGTGTAATTCTCTTTTGTTGTTTGAAATAAATCAATTGAATCGAATTGAGTCAGCTCGTTCTTTCTAGAAGAAACTTCAAAGAAAACATGCTAACAATATATGTATTTTTGAAGGGAAAAGTGCCCTCTTCTTTTACAAAAATATACCTGAAGAGGCACCTCTCATTTTATTATAAATCAGAACGATGTTTATCACTCTAGTAGAAAACTTTAATAGTGATGATAAAGAGAATAACCCACAATACCAGTTTTGGAAAATTCAGACAAAAACCAACCTGTATACCATGGTTCGGACTATGCCCTCATCAGTACAGGGACAGCTTAATTTTCATAACATTCGTGAGATGTTGTACAAAATTTGAAATATTTGACAATTAAACAACTTTATTGATATCTTATAATAACGTATAGAATCAATAAGGATAAGTTTCTTTATTTGTAAAATCAATTCGAGCTTTCGGGCGCAAGCAGCCCTTCTACAGGAATATTGGAAATAATTTCAAGTAGACATGTATGTACACATATAGATGATATTTTGCTTTGGTCTTGTATAGCGTGAGTTGGATCACATGCCCACGTGTTTATTGATATCTCCTCAATCTTTACACTCAAAAAGAGTTATAAGGTAATAAATAATGGTAGGAATGAAGAGATATATTTACAATCGACGTAAATTTGAAATAGCGCGTGAGAACGCTCTTGTAGCTTTAGAATAATTTTTAACGCTTTGCCAAATGTTTTAATTTTGTTCGCTCCTGACAAGGGCAAAATATTTTTGTCGAAACATCGAGACAATAAAAAGATTTACTGGCCGAAGTGTCTTTAATTTGAAGAAGATCCTACCAGTGGGGTTATGGAATCGGTCGAATTTACGAAAAAATGAAAGCCATAGCCCAAAACTATGGTATACAGTTGGCTTTTTGTCTGAATTTGTTAAACCTGGTGCTGTGGTTCATTCTTTATTATCATTAGGGTAATAAACAAAATACATCGTTTTGATGTATAATAAAGGGAGATATGCTTCTTTAGGTACATGAATATCATCTTCCCGTAACTTTAAGTTATATTTACAGTATAAGTGGGGAAGGAAAGCATTCATGCACAGAATTTGCATATCTACTTTTTATTTAACGCATAAAATTCATATATTAGTGCATTATTTAACTCCGCCCTTGCCAGTCCCAAGCCCAGATAAAAAGGAGGAGGGGGAACAGTAACAAGCTCACTAAAAAACCTGGACTCAGCTGTCCCGGCTGATAGTACCCTGTAAGGGCTCCTAATCCAGGGATACAGGATCAGCAGTGTTTGTACTCCATGTTAGGAGCAGCTGCACATGGCGTCTGTTCCTCATGTCAGAGACGGCCATTTATTTTGGAGCTAAGTCGGCCTGCCACTGAGTAGTTCTCCCATTCTTAATGACAAAGGCAGACGCATTCTACTTCACCAAGTGTGGAGATAAGAAAGAAGAAGAAGTGCATCAAAACAAGCCATATTTTGATTTTTTTTCTGATCACAAAACGCATTCATATTCAGTTCATCGAATAAGCCACAATTTGGTCGATTTAGAACAAGAACAAATCTCCATAAAATTATCTTTACAAGAATATGAAAATTTAAGTTAGATTTCAAATTGATATATACATATTATATAATCTAAATATAAAAATATTTAATATATATATATATAATTTAAAATATATAATTATTTTATTTTCATTCATTGATAGTTCTACTTGTGTTCTGACCATAGTTTTAGAATACGCCGACTTTTAATACTTGTTGTAAAAATATGTAGTTATCTAACCTATTTTTGAAATTCACTAATATAGAATTCATTTCATAAATTCTATATAACTGTGAAAAATGTCTTATTGTAATTTTCTTCAAGTAATTTAAAATAAAAACTACTTGATAGTAAATAGTTATTTTTCTGCTTTTCTTTCAAAATGATACGACTGCAAACGATACTATTAAGTACTCGTGTACTCAAAAGAACCAGCAATTAATTACTATCTCAAAATAATATTTATTATAACAAACATATATATATATTTGTTCTCCAATTTACTCAGAAGTCTTAATTAAAATTTTCTGTATATAAATTTCATATTGCCATTAAATGCTATTACCTTTAAAAATGATAATAATAACATTGATTTTCTCTTATACATTACTGGTACTATTACTATTATTCCTGCATGTACTGTACATTTTTGCTTTGGAAAATCTGTATAAGATTAAAAGCTGTTGTTGATATAGATATTTGTCCTCCAATTTACCCAGAAGTCTTAATTAAGTTTTCTGTATATATATTTCATATTACCATTAAATGTTATTAGCTTTAATAATAATAACATTACTTATTATTGGTACTATTACTATTATTCCTGCATATACTCTACATTTATGTTTTGGGAAATCTGTATAAGATTGAAAGGTTTTAATAAAGATTTTAGTTATTGTTGATATAGATTTTAGGTCAGCTAAGTGATCAGAGAGAGAGAGCACTTCACGATTTTGCGTGCCATCCTTGCGCAGGAGCCATGCGAGAGAGAGATTGAGTTTGAAACTGATATATTATAATGTTCATATAAGGGGTTATATAAGGTTAAATACAAAATAAATATAAATATGAATAAATAAGATTATATAATTGATAAATATATGAAAAAATAGATATAAATATATGAAATAATTGATAAATATACATGTGATGAGGTCCTGTCGACTTATCTGTGATGAGGGATCCTGTCGACTCTCGCTATAGCTGTGGTAACCGAGGGTCAAACCTGTAGTAGCCGAGAGGGACAGTCAAGGCGTGGAGAGTTTTCCAGTACCTCTCTGCACCTTGGAGGACCTTTAACAGTTCTCACAGAGTACAGGCAGTCGTGGTCGAGGCAGAGTGGAAAGCTTGGGAATGTCCACACACACAAAACGAAGAGACACAGTTGTAGTAGGAAAGTTCCGTGAACAGATAAAAGTAGAGCTAAGAGCAAGATGGAGATAAGAGTTCTTACTGTTTTACATGGTTGATGAGTTGGTCCTGGCTACAACCGACAAGGGCTCACGCCGATGGTGAAAATGACTGTCAGTTCGGCTAAAACCGAGGTTTTATATACCTTTGCCGAGGAGGGAGACATGCGAGAATTTGGACTTTGAACAGGTCCAAAGGGCGTGGGGGCGTCTGCGCTATTCTGCACCCTTTGACCTTGATGGCAACGACTTGCCAAATTCCTCTTCAGGGTTGTTGGATTTCTCTCTCGATTTTAGACGTTTTTGAACTTCTCAATCTTGCTTTAACTCAGCTCTTAATCTATTACATAGTTTTATTTATTTATCCTCAGTTTGTACAAAGTACATTACATATGGCGATGCAATGACACATCTCAATCATGCGTATAATTATTTATAGATGTGTCTCTATATACAACATGACAATCTTGTTATAAGTATTATACAATATAGGGTTGCTGGTTTAAATTACCATATACATATATATATATATAAATATATACAGTCTTCATTGGTGGGGCTCACCGCGGGAAAGACTCCGCCACCGATGGACTGCGAGAGTTCTTTCCCACAGAGTGGGCAGGTCGATGAGGTTGCTGGCGTTACCCACCTCAAGACCAAGATGGTACTTGTAGATGGTAGCCTTCGTTATACTGTTCAACTTCATTGCCTCGGGATGGAGGCCGACGCCGAACAGCCAGGCCTGCAGATCCACGATTTTGCGTGTCATCCTTGCGCAGAAGCCATGCGAGAGAGAGATTGAAACTGATTTATTACAATGTTCATATAAGGTTATATAAGGTTAAAGAGAGAGAGAGAAATGGTTGAGCGTGATACTAGAACAGAGAGAAGCCAAGAAGGTTTAAAGATCTACCCGCAGTAAGAGTAGTTGAAGAGAGACTTAAGTGCTCCATCTAGATCCCTTATCAAGAATCCCGCCCGCCCCTAGCTGTAATTTAGCCGATGTTTTCTACGGGAAGTCATCGAAGAGATGACGTCAATTTACTTGGATTGCTTTCAGGACCATTTGATCTGGCAGCCCACGTCAAACAGGCTGGGGGAACACCAACTTCATATCAGAATTAATTATAGCTCTCTGCAAGAAATCTTTATATCAACAATAGATCCTCACTTTAATGTTTCCCTTTCACATATACAATTATCCTCTATTATGTGAATGTCTCATTAATTTCTTCATAAGGATAACTGTGTTATCAATCAATCAATACATTTATTAAGACATTTAGTCTTATATATAGATTGTCTTAAGAGATAAGGAAAAAGAGTGTAAATAAAAAGAGGAAGTAAGAAATTCAAATTTACATAGCTATATGGGAAATATGTAAATAGTAAAAACAAAATTATCATATCCTGACCGCTCACCTGAGTATTTTAGATAGCAGAGAGCGCCATCTAGTGGAAAAACAATCAACTCTAAAAGTTGTTCCTATACTAAACTACTATCTACTAAATAAATCTACTAAACTTGTTCTTCGATATTTGGCCAACCTAATTTCTTGATAAATCAAGAAAAGCTAACCACGTACGCGTTTCGGGCTGTTGGCCCTCGTTTATGTATACATATGTATCCCTGGACACTTTTATTTTTCCGTTCATCATTACTCTTCATAATTCACCCTTTCATATCTCATCCAAAAAAGGTTAAAAATAGTCAATATTTCACCTTGAAATAAAATTTTGATTTTTCATTGAAAAGAAACTCATGCGGTGTAACTTCAAGGGTTGTTTTACATATAGGGCTATATTAAAATATAATATTATTGTTACATAGGTTATAGATTCTTTTCTCCTGATCTCCTTTATATGCAGATTCTCATACTGCTTCCTCATATACGCACACAAAACATGCATAGACTTACCCAAACACGCCTGAACATACACTTTTACCCACCAATTATCACATTAACAGACATATCAATAACTTAACTATAATATAAAAAAGGGATTGTACGAATTTTAAACAAGGAAATTACTCTCACATATAAATATTCCTTTCAATATATTGTCAAATTAATTCTTTCATTTCAAACTCAAACTAAAAAACAAAACATTTAAACGTCAAAATTCTGTTTTAAAATATCAGATAAGACAAACTTTCATCAATAAAATATATATATAAGGTTGTCCCAAAAGTTCGTGTTTTTCTTAAAACGTTGTTTTTATTATTACTTGGCGAATAATATTATTACGGCGAATACATACTCGTAATAATACATAATACAATTGGGGGGTCGGTTGAAGGATAGTCTAAACCGTTGGTTTTCAACCGCTACGACCCGGGTTCGATTCCCACATTGGGCACTTTTTTCTGATTAAAAAAAAAATGCTCCAATGGCCCCCGATTCTTGCAAAAGTCTAACCCCATCAGTGAGTGCAAGTAACCAAACGGGGCTCTGGCACATTTGTAAGTGCAAAGTCGAACTGCTTTTCACATGTGTAGACATGTGGTGCACTTACAGTAAAAGCAGTTGCCTACTTCTACCTACCATGATTTTCATGGCCTGTACCACGTGTACTAGGGATAAACAAAAAAAAAACGAACACAATTACTTTATATATAATACATAACGGCGAATAATATTGGTATTTCAATTTTTTTGCAAGTGTTTATAAACTTTTGGGACAACTTTTACCATATAAATGAATAAAATAACATGGATTTAAATGCAATCTATCGACAAACAAAAATATTAATGGTTGCCCATAGTTGAGTGACAATTAAAAACAGAAGAAATGTTAATAAAATAGAAGGTTGGCCATTTTTACTCCAAGGATGAAATTGGTATTGATTCCATGGTCATCAGAAATTTCGCTTTTTATAGGTTTTTCTTTCGTAGCCAAATTCTATAATAATTGATGCGCTCCCATGATGGATTTATATATAAGAGTCCTCAAGTCTTGCAACCAAAAAGTTATTGATTTTAATTAAATTCTCCCAAACGTCAGAAAGATGTTTTCGTTTTAAAGTGAAAAAAAGTATTTTGTTGCCGCAATTCGATCCTTTTTAAAAATTGGAATTAATAGAAAGTTCTTTTGAATATTCTTTGAATATATCCATAGATGAATAATAGTCTCTTTATATTTTCTGAAATTGTATATAAAAGTAAAAAATCATTATTTTGTAAAAAAAAATAGGCATTTCGGTCAGTTAGAGTTTTTTATTTTCTCAACGTTTCAACAAAATATTTTGTCTTCGTCAGGAGAAATAAATATAAATAAATCATTTGGCAAGGTGTTAAAAAAGAACAATTTTTAACGCCTTGCCAAATGCTTTATTTATTTCTTCTGACGAAGACAAAAGAATTTTGTTGAAACGTTGAGAAAATAAAAAAAACTCTCACTGGCCGAAGTGTCTATTTTTTTTACATAACTATGAATGCCGGCCAGGCAGCCTCTATCTTGAAGATAACTCATTATTAATTAAACTACCTCA